GAATTGGAGATTGTGATGTTAACAGAACACCTGCTCTTATTTAGCAGATATTGCCCAGAACCAAGAGTTTTATAAGAACGCAGAAGTGAGACCACCATTCACGTATGCATCTTTAATTCGGCAGGTAATCGATCCTCACGACCACATTTTGATAAAAAGGAAAAAAAAATGTCTATCTGCATGCATACTATAGATTAAATAGATTTAAAACCCTTTAGTATGCAAGCATGCTCAAACCTTTACTATAAGGGTTTTTAGAACTGCAATATATAACATAATTGCTTTTGATTAAGTATTACAATACGATGTGATTATTAGGAAATTCATTTCACACAACAGTGAAAATGAGCCTGTTTAAAGATGGCAAGTCAATTATCACAAGCTACAGTAATCTCTGATCCCTAGAATTAATCTGAGCTCTAAATAATTACTGAGCTTTAATCAGCTACTGAAATGTTTTGCATTTCTCTTTGATTCTGCTTTATGAATGACTAATAAATTAATATTTCTGTAAGGAAACAGAAATAAAAACTCAAAACAATTAGATAATTCCATTTTGAATTTTGCTATTGAACTGTTAAATACAGCCATTAATCTTAGATCATATTGTGAAACCTTTCTTTGGATTTTGGCTCCAAATCTCTCTCTTTTTTTTTTTTTTTTTTTTTTTTGGTTAAGAAAAAATGTGAGTATGTGTTCTCCCAGTTTGGTCACAACTCACTGCGCCTTTATTTGCTTCACAAGGCCATCCTCGAATCTCCGGAAAAGCAACTAACACTAAATGAAATCTACAACTGGTTCACGCGAATGTTTGCTTACTTCAGACGCAATGCGGCGACATGGAAGGTAAGCCTTTTCACCATTGCCTTTGAGAGTTGACCTGTACAGAATAGATATCGCCGATGCCACTAACAAATGGCTACGGCATTGAAATGTAGATCTGCAGGTTTCACACGCAGAAAGTCTCCACTGCAAAAAAACATTTCGAGATTTGGCAGAGGAAAAACTTCTGCCTTTGAAAAACCACTGACTGAATCACCGTTATTGCCCTTCATATTCTGTGATTATTGCCACAGGTTCCTCTGTTTGGTTGCTCCTAACACAAACTCAGGCTTTTCAGCTAGCACTTACAGAAATTAAGGTAAATATATATTCTCAAAAGAAGACAAACTGTAGGTCTTCCAAGGTGTACACAGTTTTCATTCCTCTGGCTGTTTAACCACAACCACCATTTTTTTCCCCACCCCAGGGGTCTAAAGACAAGTTGTTGCTCAATCAATTGATGCCCAGCAAAATTTACCTACAAACATGACCCAACCTTCACCAGTCTCTTATGACCCAGAACATAAGTCAGCACAGTGCCAAATGAGCCAAGCAAGAAAAAATACGGAATCGAACACATCCTAGAAACAAAATATTTGATGTTTGAAACTGCGCGATGAGGTTCTTTTGTTCTATTAAATGCAGCTTTTGCTTTATTTTAGTTAGGGCCTCCTCTTCCCTTTGAATTAATGGCTATCGTAGCAACGTCTGTGTATAAGCTAGTATCATTACTAGTGGATGAACCAAATAAAAGGATCTTACGCTGCAGTAAAAATAATACCCCTTGGTCTCAGGAAACCCAATTGTTCTTGAACAAACCGCCCCCTGTATCAGGGGATGAATGTCTTCTGTACCTGCTGTTTCATCATCTCCTCTTCCTCTGCCTTGAAACCGCAGGACGGTTTCTTCAAGGGCCGGAGTCAGAGAGGTCCTCTCCTTCAGCGGTTCGCTGGGATGTTTTGTTGTGCCCGTTTTGTGCTTTTCTTCTCAGCGTTTCACTGCTTTTTATTCTCCTCCCCGGGGGCGGTTTTGTGAATTTCAACCCCAGCGCCCTGACTTCAGGTGCCCACACCTGGGAAAACTCTTGGAGGTTGCTGCTTTGATTTCCAGACCTTGCTTGGAAAACTTGAGCAGCGTTTCATCTTCAACTTCCTAAGTATTCAAAAAGGAAATGAACTTTTCCTGACTTAAAGTTCTTTTCAAGGGCGTTTTGAAAGTATTGTTGTAGAAAAGAGTTACGATTCAGGATGTGTTTGAAGCCTGCCTTTTTCTTCAAAATCAGAGAACCAATTTGCTCCCAGTTTCCGGCTCAAGTAGGTAATTTGCACGTGCTTGTCATTGTTTGTACGGATGCAGAACTCCCTCGTAAGGTTATTTTATACCAAAGAAGCTCTCCGTGGGTGCGTCTACACGTTCATTAATGCACCATAGTTATGGCGCATTAAGTTTAGTACTTGGTTAACCAAATACTAAATCAGTGCACAGTAACTCGCGCTACTGCGCAATAGCACCAGCATATGGGTTTTTAGTGACACTTACTGTGCAGTAGCCTAATACTACTGCACGGTAGCATATTAGCACGGGGTTTGCCTAACACGCTACTGCACAGTGTTTTTAAGCTACTGCGCAGTTAGCATCTTGTATAGACGCACCCTGTGTCCAAGCTTCTTCAGGAAGGCTCTGCTTCCCAGCTGTCTGTACTAGCCGGACTCATCCTGGCACGTGCCTCTAGTGCTCCTTACCGCCTGTGGCTGTGGCTGCTCCATAGGGCATGTGCCAGTCAGTGGCTACTTGATTGGCATCATTGGGCTCTTCAGCATCTGCAGGTGTAGGTACTTCAGTTGGACTTCTTTTTCACTGAGCCCTGCATTAGCTGGCAGCAGGACAGCCCGCGGTCAAACATTTCCCTACTCAATCTCTGGGAATCAATTTAGCGCATCATATTAGAATGGCAGGAGTCGCTTGGTTTCGGTCATACTTGCCACAAGCATGTACCTGGGGACAAGGGAGTGTCAATAGCAAAGGGGGCAAA